ATGGCTCTGTCTGTCTGGCTGTGTGTCTGTGTGTCTGTGTGTCTGGCTGAGGAAGCTGCAGCACAGGCAGTTTTTGTTGCAGCCCTCCCAACATGAGCTGTGGCAGGAAGGATGTGGGGTGGGCTGGCAGCCAGCAGAGCTGCCCAGCTTGGGCACAGCGAGGGTGGACCCACCTGGAGAGCTGTGCAGGGCTCCTGAGCCTCCTGTGGGCAGCCATTTGTCCTCATGGGTGGTGGAGGGTGTCAGGGAAGGGTTCTTCCCCCAGAGGGTGCTGGGCACTGCCCAGGCTCCCCAGGGAATGCCCAGAGCTGCAGGAGTGTCCTGTGCAGGGCCAGGAGGAGTTGGACAGGGTGATCCTTGTGGTTCCCTTCCAAGTGTGTTCCATGATTCTCTGCCAGGCTGCTCCCACAGGAGCTCCCAGCTGGAGCATTCAGGAGGAATCAACCAGTGCTGTTGGAACCAGAGCAGCTGTGGGCACAGATTGTGAGTGCAGGTGCTGGGCTGGGTCAGTGCTGGGATGAACCCTGCTCCACACCATGGGATCCTTCAGGTGCTGCTCCCTGTGCCACTCCTGCATCCAGCAGTGCTGGGTTTGGAGGCTTGGCAGGCCCTGGAGGATCCTGGTGTGGAGGGTGTTGGAGCCCTGTCCCCCCGGCTGTCCCTTTGCCTGGGTCCTGAGTGGCACAGAGAGGGAAAGCTGCTTTCCTGCCTGCTAATCAGGGCTGTGCAGACACACACGGAGGAAGGATGGCTCTGCTCTGCCTCAGGATGTTTTGGCAACAATGCCTATTTATAGGAGAGGGCAGGGGCCCCTCACTGCTGTGGAAGAGGGTCTCCAGTGGCTGCAGAAGCACTGGGGACAGGCTGGAATGCTGATGAGGGACAGAGGGCTGATGATGGAGCAAATATCCTCAGCTTTGGGCTTCCCCAGATTGTCCAAGTTTATCCCGTTCACTGCTGAGTTACCAGCAGCTGTGTGGGACAATGGGCTGAGCCATTCCAGCCTGCAGGAACCCACACTGGAGACAGGGAGCTGCTTCCAACAGCAACTGTGCTGCTTTGGCAGAGTGCAGCAGAGCCAGGGCTTGGTGCCATGTGTGCCCAAACCATCCCTGGCATGTCCTTGACCAGTGAGCTTTCTCACTAGTGCCATCAAAGAGATCTGCCAAGGCCAGTTCTTTGATTTTAATTGCACTGCAGATGCCTCTGCCAAGCAGATCAGCAGCTCCAGGGGTAGCCCTGAGCCCTGGAATTGGAGGAGTGGTGCCAGCAGTGGGCAGGGTGTGGGTCTGCTGTGCTGGGGGCTCTCCACACCCAGCCTGGAGAGTGGGGCATGACCCCTTGCCAGGCAGGTTTGGGCTCCTGTGCCTCCCAGCGTGGTTTGGTGCCCATCCCTGGCTCTGCCCGCTCTGCCAGCCTGTGCTGACTCAGTGCTGGCCGGGTGTGGTGGCACTGGCTGTGCAGGACACGTGCCCAGGGTGGCAGTGGCAGCTGGAGCAGAGCTTTGGTGTCACTCTGGGCCCTGCAGATTCTGCAGGGATCCTCTGCTTTTGTGCATGTGTGGAATTCTGCTGTTTCCCTGCTTTTTGCAGGGAGACTTCTTGGTGCCAGGGGATGTTACCAGAGCCAGAGGGGCCCCTGAGCACTTGTCTCCTTAGCAAAGGGAGGTTGTTAAATACAGCTGGAGGGTTGGAACTTCTGAAATGGGATCATTGCCCAGAGAAAGGGAGGAACAGGGCTTGGTAGAGCCTATGGGCTCTAACAGGTTGGATGGTGTGACCGTGTTCACAGTGGTCCGAGGATGAGGGAAGAGACGAGGGTCTGACTCC